TCTCGCTGATCTGTGTTTACGAAATGAGCAGTATTTTTTTTGTGTGTAAGGATTTAATTTTCATTGGTAAAATGTCTCCAATATACAGAGTATAACTGGAAGGTGCGAACAACATTTAGGTACGAGTTCCACAAACCAAAACAAGAAAAGAAGAATATCAACATGTGCCTAGAAACATTTAATTTGTGAGTTATGGCTGAAAGAGTACTTAATAATAACTGTTCAAAATGTCTTCCACGAGATTCATTGCACGTCTCGTCACGGAACACCGCATCCGTTAAAAGACGCCGCGGTAGCTGCGGACAGTCTACCAGGCATTCATAATGGGATGGTGAAGTGTTTCTTCGTTGTCAACAGGAGCTACATACACAAGGGTTTCTAGGTGTCCCCAAAGGATCCAAATCTAGCAACCGTGGAGGACATGCAATGGGTCCTCCTCTACATATCCATCCGTCATGGTATGTGTTACTGGGAACATTCGCACAACACGGCAAAAACGTACCAGCGCATGATCATGCATGCACAACATTCGTGCTCTGATTGCCAGTGGCACATACTCCAGTAGCCTTAGCACATCGTGTAGGAGGAAACCTCGGTGGCGGTTGTCGATGTGGTAAGCAAACAACCATTAGCAATTCCCGCCCACACACTAATGCTATACTGCTGTTGGCGTCCAGCATGGACTACACCGTGAAGAGTCTCTTCCGCTCACTGGTGTTGGTTGTGAATATGTCACCTCTACCGAAGCGCATTTCGTGTGTAAAGAGCGCGGATGAAGCAAAGAAATGCTCAACTCTTTGTTCAACAGAGAACCGACAAAAATTCTCTCGCGTTGGATAATCAGCAGGCATGAGATCATACACACTCATTGTAAATGGTCATGAGCGAAGCATTTAACCCTTCCCCCAGTCGTCTCATTCTGACAGGTGTTCCCACGCCTCTGTCTGTCTCTCTTCCCCAATCCACAAAATCCGGCTTAATGTTCTAGGCATCTCTGAACCGATGCGGCTGTCCACGATGAGCCGTGTCGAGGCGTGCACTGAACCTCATGGAGGACATTTTGAGCACACGCTATAACCCACAAAATAAGTGATTCGGAGCATATGTTGATACGGACATTTTTCCTTTTTTTGGTATGTGGAATTCGTACCCAAATTTATTCGCACCTTACAGTTACACGCTGTATATTGGAGACATCTTAACAATGAATTAAATCCTTACACACAAAAAATACTGCTCATTTCGTAAACACAGCTCAGCGAGAAAAGGAATAAAAGAACATTAATAGAAACGTGTTGGAGGACAGAGTTGGACGCGAGCAAACGTTATGTCACTTAAATTCTCTTCTCAAACAATGACTTCACAGAGGAACTGAGAAAATGTTTAGTATACGAGTGATCTTAAGATACATCTTTTACTTTTGTATTTATATGGAAACTATCGCATTTATTTGCAAAGTAAACCGCAGTTATTGAAAAATTACGTCATGAATGGCTAAACACACGAAGTGTGCAAACTGGCCTTCAGAGAATATGTGCATTCTGAAATTCTTCTAGTCGACGCCTACTGCCAACGGCAAATAATGCATACACGTAAAGTATATACGCACATTTGTGTGCATTCTTCCTACAACAAGCATAAAATGAACGCAAAATGCAGTAGTCCTCTGTGTAAGTCATCTAGCATATGCCCCTCCAAGAGTGTCCATCAGGGATTTTCAGGTGACCATGTAGCACTAAGGGTATGTCTTCTGCAACTGGTTGCTATATTCCCCACCCGTCACCATTGCACCAGTGCTCCATACTTATTTATACCTCAGGCGTGCAACAGTTGCGAGTGGTGAATGAGTTATCAAATTCTTGGCCCCACTTGGGGCATGCACATTAACTTTAATGTAATAGCTGGAATATGAATTTATATTTCGTTCACAAAGTCAATACGCTCAACATAATCACAGGTGTGGCAAATGCCTAACTCCTACTGGCGGTCAGTTCGTATAATTCACAAAGGGCGGTTCACGCAACGTCTCAATTTCAAATAATCAGAAAGCGGTAAGGGAGTCAGTAAAGTAACATAGTAAGCGACAGTTACACGGTTTAATTTAAGCTCCTGGTTGGAACAGAACGCTGACTAATGGTTATGTATGACAAATGGCCAATCTATTATAAATGTCGGCTCATTACGAACCACAATTTTCGCTCATTTTACCTGATGACTTGTTGGTGTTTATTTATTGTGATATTTAATATTTCCATGATAATTGAGGTTTGAAATGATTTTCTGCATTGCCTATACAACATCCTGCTCAATTTGCAACAGAACTTCTTGCCTTCTGTGTGTCCTCAGGATTGTGCCATTTTGTGACAAGCAGTGCCACTGCCGAGTAACAGCTGTGTAAGCAGGCGACAGTACAACACCCGTTGCTAGGGAACAGCTCTGTGGACACATTTCCTTGGCAACGAGAGAACACGCAGTAATGGTAGAGACGTTTCCGTGCGGTTTGTGCCAGGGCTATGTAACGTGGACCAGCTGCCATTACAAGTCTTAAACTTGGCGGCGGTCAAGAATACGACCGTTCACGTGACTAGACTGCCGTTGTAGCGGAAGCTACTAGAAGTAGGGCATAATCTGCTGTACTGAGCCTGGACTGAGAGAGGCCCTGTATTTATTTTACATACATTTATTAACATGTTTAATGTGTAAAATGTAAATATCCTTTACATTATGAGAATGACTTACTATTACAGACAATGACTCTGACAAAAGAGTCTCTCTCGAAAAAGAGGGCGCCCCACAAAAACAAGACCGAAACTGTCAAACAATAATAAATATCTGGTCATAAGCCCCAGATTGGGCTCGACACCGAGACTGACTGACTGACTGACCGTCAGTCGCAATGTGACGTTGACTCTGACTTGATTACAAGTCTTGAGACTGCAGTTAGAAGAGTAGGGAGTTTGTGAGATAGCCGCCAGCCTGCGAGGACGTGAGCCCGGGAGCAAAAGAACGTCCACCGTTGAGTAAGTTGAGAGTTCCGGTTGTGAGAAGAAGCTGGTAGCTGAGGCCCTGGATAGTTCGAGGCCCCAGGGAAAAGGGAAGGTCCGCTGTCGCAAGCCGCTACTAAGCAACGGCTAGAGAAGACTGAGAAGACTTTATATGTGCTGTTGTTACTGTGATCTTTGAGCGCGTAACTCAGAGAGACTGTCGTAGTTATTTGTAGTTACGTTCTGTAAGTGCGCTATAAAACCCCGTCTATACTTATTCTAAAATCGTGACAATATGCAGGCAATAGTATCAATGATCCACCCCGGGCGTTCATCTCTTCCTTGTGATTTATCTGGACAAACCAACTAATGGACGCCCAAGAGAAAACATTCAAGAGAGTGACAACTGGTGGTAGGAGAGTCTTTGGCCTTCCATGACTGCTACAATGCTATCCATAGGAGCGAGTCAAGAACTCGGTTGTTTTAAGATTAGTATAAAATGTATCAAAATTTTCAATGTTTCAATAATCATAAAAACCAGCATGTTTCCGACTCAGACGGCCACCTTCAGGGGTAACCGACACTACAGGAAACTCTATGCACTTTACAAAAATATTTTTAAAAATATAATCCATTTCAGTTAAATCAAACTTTAAATTGAAGAGAACTTGAAATCAGTAATGTGCTGACATGCAATGATCGACAGAGGTAGATGCCTTCTATACGATGTCTTGTTAATGCAATGCCGAAGGTTGTACTTTGCATAACAGATTCTTAATCACCTTTGAGATGTCTTTTTATATTCTTGAAAACCTTTGTAGTGACCTACGTGAGTTTAAGGTCACATCAAAGCATGCACATGCAGCTGCATTTATTTGCCATCAGGGGCACTCCAATCAAGAACATGGTAACACCTCTGCAACAAGTGAAGTGTGCCTATGGTTTAATAAAATCGAATGTTTCAAACGAGTACAGTGATATTATTGGACGAAATTTGGAGTGGATGTATCTCCTATTCCGTATTGAGGGGGTGGGTTTCCCCGTGCACTTAGACCGGTTACTGGTCCATTGTGCGTCCCCCTTTAATTTCTACTGTCTCCATACCCTACCGGTACTGGTGCTTACTATCAGCCCCTTTCTGCCAGCGAGGTTCCAACCTCTTACTCGCAGTGGTATCTAATAGTTAGTCCCTTTCTGTCAGTGAGGTCGTCCCTCCTCTGGCAGGGGTTCCTAGTCCCTTTCTGCCAGCAAGGTTTCTACCCTCTACTTGGCAGTGGTATCTAATACTTTAGTTCCTTTCTGTCAGAGAGGTCCCCCCTCCTCTGGCAGTGGTACCTGATACTTCCCCCATCTACAGGAGGAATTGGAAACTAGTTTGGCGGGAAACTTGGCCTAATTTTGCTCAGAGGTCTCCTAGAGACATGAGGTTCTTTTACGTGCCATAAATCTACGACACGGGGCCCACGGCTTAAAGTCCCTCCCGGAGGACTTGTTCCCTGAATTTTTCCGCCCTTAAAAATTCCACGACCTCCGCCGGGTTTTTGAACCCGCGTACCTTGAGTCATGAGGTGGGAACGTTACCTCTAGACTACGGAGGCCGCTATGTATCTCCTAAGCCATCCATTTATTCATTTCACGTCCAGCAATGTGAGACAGGTTGTTTGTGTGAAGGCAAATTTCTCTTCACTGCAGAGTGTATGGATGGGCCTCAAATACAAACTTGATGTGTACAGAGTTACCAATAACGCACATATCAAACACCTCAAAATGGTAAAATAAACTGTGATGGTTGTAGTTTACTGCTTAAATGTCCACATGCTGTATCTTGCCTGACTGTTTCAAAATAAATTTCTGAAATTGTAAAGATAATTTGTGTGCTCTCTGTACTAAGCAAAAAAAAAAAGTAAAAATTTGCTGCTTTAAAATTGGTTTTGATACACATTATTTGAAACTAGAATTCGTGGACTGGAATCTTGGGACAGAATATGATACAGAAAGTGATTTGTATCCACTTACCGTCATGCCATCTTGGTAGTTCTCTGTTGTAAACATATGGAGGGGCAGGATCACGAGGAAGGAAACTGCCTGATTCTGGATGAAGGGGCTGAGACAGTTGTTCCACACAGTAACTCATCCTTCTAAAAGAAGTACACTGTTCTGAACGTGCATCACGGGGCCTTTCTTCAGTACACTGCAGTCCCTTTCGAGCAGAAGTCACGGCTGCATGTACGGGTTTAATACTAACATGCATTACTTCAGACAGTTCAGCATCGCTCGACGTCCTGTGAGATGACGAGCCGACGCCAGAGTCGGACGAAGCTGATGATGATGTCGGAGGGGTTGAAAGAGTAACTTCTAACTCACCACCACTTGTTAATTGTTGAATCAATGGGCTGACATCTGAATTTTTAGCAAGCTCTGATGCTGAGACAATAACAGGCCTCCTAGAAGACTGATGATGCAGGTGTGGTGAATGTTCCCGGTCTGGTATTGTGCTCGGAGGTTGGACTGGCCTTGGTGATTTCTGCTGAGGGAACTGCGTTCGTTGCAGAGAAGATACTGGCGCTGACGCCGGTGGTACTGATGGTTCTTCTGCATGCTGATGTGTTGGTGGTCGCAATGGAGGTACTACTTCTTGTCTCTGACTTCCAAGTTCAGAAGCTTCTGCTGGTGAGACATGTCTGGCCCTCTTAGGAGGTCTTAGCAAATATTCTTGCAATCGTTTACTATGCCTGAAATAAAATATAATGTACTAACTACAACTGCTGCATGCTACAAAAATTCATAACATATAATACAGTGTCATAAAATTTCTTCGACATGGAAGAAAAGAAATGCGTACATATTTTGTAAGAAAGTTTATAGCCTAGCTTTCCCTGCACTCACTCACTCACTCATAGAGCTTAGCCCTTCTTGAGAAGCCTCCAATTGTGCAGCTACTCAAAAAGTTCCCAGCTTTTTATGGAACACGCAGGTTCATTACCGTACTCACAAGAGCCCTCTACTGGTCACTATCCTGGGCCAGATCGATCCAGCCCATACCACTCCATCCTATATCTCTAAGGTCCATTTTAACATTGTCCACCCACCTACGTCTCAGTCCTCTTAGTGGCCTCTTTCCTTCTGGATTTCCCACCAATATTTTACATGCATTCCTCTTCTCCCTATTCGTGCTACACACCCCGCCCATCTCATCCTCCTTGACTTCATTATTCTAACTACGGAGCTCCTCATTATTCAGTTTCTACAACCTCCTGTCACTTCATCTCTCGTATTTCCAAATATTCTCCTCAACACCCTGTTCTCAAACACCCTCAGTCTATGTTTCTCCCTTAATGTCAGAGACCAAGTTTCACACCCATACAGAACCACACGCAAAATTATAGTTTTTTATATGTCATGTGTGACTAGACAAGGGGTCTGGATTGGTAACTGGATTTATTGGACTCTTATAAATAGCAACTACAATTAATTATAACGCTATGGCGAATTCAGAGACTCAACAATTCACTGTAATGCACGCAATAAGTCTTTTCATTCTGCTGTTTTCACCGGCTGTCGCCTGGTGACAGCTCCAAACTCCGTAGATTCCTTGGCTTCTGTGTTCAACAGCTTCTGCCCTCGCTGGCTGGCAACCCTATTGCATCTCCCACGGCTCCAGGTGCGTCTTATATTTGTTACCGCCGTCTTGATCTGCTGAAATACCGTTGCGACTAGTTTGAAAGTGTTATTCAGAGACTAACTGCTTACATTAAGTGGCTGAACTGACTGACTTAGTACCTGTTGCAGGTTTTGCCTTAAAGGAGGCAGGGCACTTATTACTTCCACCGTGGCGGTACAGACAAGTTCAACTGGGGATGGATGAGGTTGCTGCTCTTACTCTGTGTTGTTGTTCAGCGACGCCGTGAAGGACGAGCCAGGGGTGATGCGGTTAGTCACAGTCGAAGTTACTTCACGACCGATGGTTCGTCTTGGCACCAAGCCCTTTGAGACTCATGACCAAATATCATGTAACATCCTCTCTGACGAAAGGATGGGTTTGTCTCATATGTATAAGCTTCTCTTCGCCTTTGTCAAATGTACGTTACGCGCATATAGAATGTTATTGAAAATTCTTCCTTGTGCACTGTATACAACGCCTCTGTCAGTATAGTATTTGCAAAGCAGATTATGTCTATGTCTATCTTACTTATCTTATGCTACAATGGCAGCTTAGTCATTTGAAAGGCAATACGCTTGACCGCCGCCAAGTTTCAGTCTCTTATATTTTAGTAGCGGTTTAAGTCAAAGTTACTTTGCGACTAGCGGTTTACCGTCAATCAATTTGTCTTGGTGTCAAGCCCCTTCAGACTCATGACAAGCTAGTTTTTCAACTCAACCCTTGCGGTCATGGTCCTTATGTAACATCCTATCTCAGGAGAAGACGGGTTCGTCTCTTATGAATATGCTTGGTCTTTCGTCAAGTGTATGTATCGCACACATAGCATGTTACTAAAAATTCTTCCTTTTATACTATATACAAATCCTGTCGGTCCAGGCTTTGCAAAGTAGATCAAACCTATCTTACGTATCTTATGTTACAACGGCACCTTAGTCACTTGAACGGTCGTAAGCTTGACCAACACCAAGTTTGAGCCTCTTATATTTTCTGTGTCTGGCTTCGCCTTGTCCTATGCCGCGAACATGTTCATTCTCATTACTTTTTTATGACTTCTGCTTGTTGCCTGCACAATTTCATTGCATAATCGTATATATACAGAAGATTGAAAAGTCGTGTGCAAATCGCAGACCGGTGTCAACCTTGGAAAATTTCCAACGGTGCGAAGAACCATGTTTTGTAGGCGCTGCAGTTTTAAGGAATAGGTATCTGCCGCTAATTCCCTGGCGGGGTAAACGTAAGTCATTACCAATATGATCAGTGCCTTATGGAGGGTTAGTTTAATGTTGGCACTCAAACGCTCACTTTTGAATAGGGAGTAGATTCTAATAAATGCGCTGAAGACCTTGGTTCCAATCACTTCTTTGTTCAGCCTCCATGTAATCCTCTTATCGAAGATTACATCCAGATATTTTACATGATTGACAAAGGGGATATTCCGTCCATTCAATTTGCCTCAAGGGGCCTAGGTCTACTGACGCGGTTACAAGTCAAAGTCACATTGCGACTGACGGTCGGTCAGTCAGTCAGTTAATCTTGGTGTCGAGCCCAATCTGGGGCTCATGACCAGATATTTATTACCGTTTGACAATTTTGGTCTTGTTATTGTGGGGCGTCCTCTCTGACGAGAGGACCGGTCTGTCTTTTGTCAGAGTCATGCCTGTAGTAGTAGGTCATTTGTCATAATGTAAAGGATTTTTACATTTTACGTGTTACATATGGTAATAAATGAATTAAATATATACAAGGCCTCTGTCAGTCCAGGCTCAGTACCTTAATTTTAAAGATAACTTTTAATATTGTGGCATATACACCCTTTGACAGGCAACGACTGAGAAAAAAACATGAGACAATGACCAAAGCTAAGCAGCGGCCCGCGTGCAACAATGGAAGTACTGTTGGAAGCGGTGTTTTCTATGTGGTCCGCTCCGAGGCTATATCACGCTACCGACCAAGATCAGTTTAGTTAATGCAGCGCAGCTGAGTACAAAGGAGTGAAGTGAGTTGTTTGGTCAGAGGGCTGCTGCTGTTAGAAGCTGATAGCTGAGGCATAGTTCGAGAACGTTCGTGATTGGAAGCCGCTACCAAGCAACAGCAGCAAAGACGTGACTGTAGACACTAGTGTGTGTAACACTAGTAGCCACGCGTTGCATCAAAGTGTGCCAAAAATCGAGTTACCAGTCCAAACCTCGTCTATAGTCACTCATACACGTGACAATATTAACCTCCCATCATGACCTCTACTTATGTCACTAACCTATATTCCGATGGACTTGATGACGGAGGAAGAACGCTACTTCTTGCAGCGTCCGACACACTTTTGGGAACATGGCTTGGGATGTTTTTGATGGCTTCTGAAGGGGTTTCTGTCATGCCAGTGTTGGAAGTATCAACAACGGACCCAACATTACTCCTGGAATATGGTGCAACACTGAGACGTTTGCGAGGCAGCACTGTAGTCACGCCTCCGTTTCGAATCTTCTCTTCGAGCCAGTTGAATCCTGGAAGTTCCTGCGCTAAGCGGCGTCCTTTCTCTTGCATTTGGGCAGTAAGCGCGTTCTGCTTTACGTCAACAACGACGGATGTATCATCTGAAAAGAAAACGACAACACATACAAAAATTCCGGAAGTCAAATTTGTAATTGTAACAAGGACAACGAGTTGCTAGAAGCGTGAATGGGAAATCCAGAAAGGTAAATGGGGCTATGCAAATAACAGAGAAGAATGGGCATCTCTCGCAAAGGAAAGCAGGGTTCTGAACACAACCGCAGAGCTGCAGTCATGACTTTCATCACCTTCCAACAGTGTGTTCACACTTCAGCAAAGGATATTTCCATCACCAGCCACTTTTATTGTATGTAAGGATAACAAATATCCGTTTAAAATTAAGTATTTATTAAACTACGAATATCAGTGTTTTCCTCTTCAGCAGTTCATCCACAAGCAGTCGGCCCAGAATGTTCTTCCCCATGAGATAGCGGAATATATCACATCAAAGTATATTCACGTGGATCGATAGACTTGGCCAGTTTCTTGCTGCATAACGTAAGAATCTAATCTTATTTGTGCTTGAAAATGGAAGGACCTTGTGGAGCGGTACCCTAAACCCATCTCTTTAAACAGAACCTGCATGAATACATTTCTGCTTGGGAGAATTGCTTTATGACAATTCACATGTCCGATCAGCCAAATCAGGCGTCTTAATACGAGTTGTAGAGATATTTTGTACGTTAATCTTTAGTTTTTAAGTGTACTTGTCCTTTCTTTTGTGCGTTGCTGTGCGCCAAACGTTATTCTTAGAACTGACAAGTACAATAAGAATACCACCAACTGTGACATAACGGTCGTGCCATAACTCAAGTGGTTAGTCGCTGGCTTCCCACCGCGGCGGCCGGGGTTCGATCCCGGGTCTGGTCAAGTGGCATTTGTGGTGGACTAAGTGGCGATGGGCCGGTCACGGTAACCGAGCGGTCTAAGGCATGTACTGTCTTCGCTCGCTTGGAAACCGGTCGTGGGTTCGAATCCCACTCAGGGCATGGATGTTTAGTTTGTATGTGTGCGTTTTTCTGTATTTGTGTACAGGTATAGGCCTTGCGACGAGCTGATCACTCGCCCAAGGAGTCCTACCGAATGTATAAGATCTAGAAAAACCGAAGTGAACGGAGAAGTTCATGGAGGTAGGCCTAGGCCCACTGGGGTTGTAGTGCCAAGGGGGAAAAAAAAGAAGTGGCGCTGGGGCGGGTTTTCTCCGAGAACTTCGGTTTACCCTGCCAATCTTCATTCCACCAAATTCTCCATCATCATAATCATCCGGGGCAGGCTACAATAGGCCAATCAGTGGCCGCCGTGCCGAGTGGACCCAGTTGGACTCAACCCCCACTAAGTGAATTTAAAAAGAAGACTGTAACATATATGGGGTGATTTATTTAACTGTCTTGGCACGTTTCGGCACATATGGGTCATCTTCAGAAGTAATTACATAATAAGGAAATGCTTTAAAACAGTTTGGTATAACATTTTATAAAAACGCCTAGTGATAAAGTGCGATATACTCGTACTGCCGCTGTCGAACCTTCTCCTTGCCTACCGTTATTTTACTTCTATTACAGCATTTACGGGTGTTACATATGCTGTGTGTGGTCTGTGTTTATACAGCTACAAAGCAACGCATGAAGCACAAAAAGCGCACACATCAAAAACAACAAAAATCTCTGTAAATGGTATAACAGAAGAATCAAATGACGACAGGCAAGAAGAAAATACGACAACGGAAATACATCGTACTTCATAATAGACGTCTTAGAGAGAACTATTATACAGGGTGATTCTAAATATTTTCCTTTTAATGTACACCTTCTGAGGAGGACCCGTATGGCCCGAACATCTAAAAGCACTATACAGTATGTTACAGTTTGTGGTGCTCACGTTATTATTATTATTAGTATTAGTATTAGTATTATTATTACCCACCACGTTGGTGCGCCCTTGCTACCAACGTGGTGGGTAAAGATCTCGACATATTTGCAGACGGAGCAATTTCTCTGAATCATATTTTACAAGCATGTATCAAACCTTTTACGGTGCTACTGGATTAGTGTTTTCATTAACTACAAATGTGTATACCTCGGCTAACTTTAATTTTCTTATGTAATTGGTTTTAATTTACTAACTTGTTATTAATTTTATCACTCCCAGTTGT